AAAAAAAAAAAAAAAAAAAAAAAAAAAAAAAAAGAGGTAGCAGGTTTTTCACAGTTTTTCTCTTTGGGGGAAAAGTGCTTCATACACTCCATTTTACAGGTTTTATGAAGAACTAATTTGAACTTAATAACATGCTGCTCAGAATGTGAAGAGTTATTTTAAATTCCTAAATTAAACCTTAGAAGTTCTGATAAAGAGAACTGCAGTTTCTTCAAAATCAGGTAATTACAGTCTCCAGCTTCTTTTGACAACTAAGTTACTACAGGAAAACACTAACGGAATTTCACCACAAAGATGCTTGCTATCTATCTATGACACACAATACTTCTAGATCAAAATATAACGAAAAGAAAGCAAACAGTAACAGCAGTGATCAACACCATGGTAAGAGATTAAGGTAATTCATAGACTTTAAAGATTATGACACGTCTTAAGACATCACATCCTTAAGAAGGAATGTATTGGTATTAGCCTAATCAACTATCCTTTACAAAGGATTCAATGAAGACTTAAAAAACAAAGAGGTTCAGACCGGATATAAGAAAAACTTACACCCCCATGCACTGCCCCTACCTCCCCCATGAGGACAGTCAAATTAGTGGGAAAAGGCTGCACAGAAAGGTAGTGCGTTCCCATCCTTGGAGATTTTAAAGACCACGCTGGATAACAGCCAGCTTATCCTGGTCATACCTCTGAGGTCACCCTGTTTTGAGCAGGATGGTAGAAAAAAGGTCTTCTGAAGTTCATTCCAAAAGGAATTCTCCTCTAATCCTACATAATTTTTCCTAGGTTCATATTTAAGTATCAATTCAAAGGTCAATTAGGACAAAATTATGTTCTAAAATAGACACACACTACTCAAAACAAACTAGCTGCTCAAGAGCTGCATGCACAGAAATAAATAGAAAATATTAAGAAAGCAGAAGCTACACTACAATGTACACTCCTGTATTGGTGACAATCTTGTAAAAGCAACATTAAGGGGAACAATGTAAGTATTACATTTCAAGTTAGTAAAGTTTTCTAAAAAAGAACTACCGTGTTTCTACCGAGTCAAACATATCTGAATACACACAGAACTAGTATGGTTCAGAACAACTTTGTGTGAACTACAGAAACAGCAACTCTGCTTTCAGAAATACAGGACACTCCCCTTACATATACACCTCTAAGTAAGTCTTCTTATCTTCAATAACCCACATGTCCAATTCTCAGCAACCACTTGCTGTTTCATGAACAATAAACAGATTCAAAATATTTCAAAAGATAGTATTTCACAGCGAACAAGCAGCTAGGCTGTGTATAGGGAGAGAAGGGACTAGCAAGAGTATTTCTTTGTTTTGCTTTATCATTTCTGAACTTCACTTTCAAGCTTTTTATACACATCTATCATGTGTTAATCACTGATTCCTATTCAATCCTAGTGAAAATATAGTATGTTAAGTAATTTATTTTTTGCAAGACACTAGTTTCTCTTATCTTTTTATTACAATAAAGTTGCGTTCAGTTTTTACTTGCCTAGCACACTGCTTGAGCTTATGTGGTAACTTGCCACGTTAAATTGAATGACAATAATATTTCATAGATATATACAACAGCACAACAAATCTCTGGGGCAAAAATCTCATTTTATTGTGTGACTATCTGTACAGCTTGGAGTGCTGCCCAAATAAAACACTCTTTGGAAAAATAATAATAATAAAAAAAAACAAACAACATTTTCAGCACCCGATAAACTTTGGGTCATAGATACATTATGTTAATCAGAAAGACAACTCATTCCAAATTTCACTCCCAGGCAGTTACAACTTCTGTCACATTAGGGGAGAAAATAAGTGATGTGCACTGTACCACCATGCTACCATTCTTAAGAAGTGTGATTTGAGTGCTCTCCTGTCAAATATGTATCTTCACACTTATTAAAGATGAACATGTCTATCATGACAGAAACTTAAAAGAGAATGCTCATTATGCAAGTGCATTTATTGAAACTTCATTCTGTCAAGTTTTTGCTAAGCACTATAAAATTCATAACACACACATCTTTTGCATTCTTCTTCACACATATAAATATTTAGAAAATAGCTCAGTATATCGTCTCTGTTAATTATCACAGCTAGAATCTTAAGCTACTGTACTATTTTCTACAGCTTTCATTTGAACAATTTTTCATAACTTTGCTTTAAAAAAAAATTAAATACATCAGATGATATCTTATCCTATTACCACATATCCTATACCTCTAGGGATACCAAAGCACCTTACAGAGAAACTTCTGTGATGTATTGAAAGTCTGAGGTACTCTTACACACAAAATTTAAGCAAAGCCATGAACAGAATCAACATTCAGGACTTCAATCTTACATCATCACTCACGTGCATATACTCACACTCACACCTTAGTATTGTTTTCTTTAAAGCAATATGCAGTATAACAACAATAAATCTTCAACTTGCATTACAAATTTTGTTCTGAATCTTGTGTAATTTTATCGTGTAATTAATATTTCAACATACTAAGCAATATTATTTGTCTGTAGAATTACAAAATACTACTTTCTCATATAAACTTGAAAGCAAGTAGATTTAATAGCATACGAGACATCTCTGCAGAAATGTTTTGTAACTTTGCATATTCTAATGAGACTGTTGGATAAATCATTCCTTGGTGATAAAAATATAGAAGCTTTAAGAGCAAACAAACATGGGAGCTTGCTTACAGAAGTATCATGTACTTTATAAAACATTTTTTTAAGAAAACAATGGCTGCAAGAATACATAAGCTGTTCTCTAATCAAGTTCAACCAGAATACAGTAGTAGTAGCATATCACTTCCTAAAATCTGATTGGAATCCAACAATACCTATCAATGGTGAAATTGGTGGCCTAAGTATTAATTACAGAAGTTTGGAAAACTTGGAATAATTAGGACACAGTTAACTGAAAAGTGGCAATCAATCAAGTTTTCAGACCTAGATAACCAATAAATAAATAAAGGACCTAAGAAAGAAAAGCAAAATATATTGTCCCAGGATCACTAAACAAAAGTGTTGCAGCATCCTGGCTGAGTCTCATAAATATACGTAAAGCTAAAGTTGTTTTGAGTGTTTGTGTAAGAAACAGTTTTCTCAGTCTACTCGGGGGAAAAAAGTTTAGCAGGGAATATTTGACACCTATTTGCTAATCTCCTATGATAATATTTTCATTAATGTTCATCTCGGTTGTTTTCATGAAACAGAAATATTTTCTTGCAAGTTTCCACTATATATGTCCAGATTTTCCTCTTATTATTGCTTTTAAACTTGCATTTGATATACAATATTACATACTTATTCCCACATCAAGAAAATAGCATTTTAATACAGAAAACAATGAAAGGGAAACAAGCAAACCACCAGATTTAGAGAATGCTTGAAGTAAACAGCATCATTTTGACATTTCTGTTTTCAATACACACTATCAGCCAGGCATATTAACATATGTATATTTCACAGCAGAAATTTTTGGTTTGTGTTTACAAAGCCTCTATACACTTAACAGTTTTCAAACAAGTATTGTAGGTTGCCTTTATTCATATATATTTCCAGAAAACATCTTCTCATTGTCATATTTACCACATTTAAAGATATATGATGGACTTCTCATTCTCGAGGTCTGTTCCTCATTAGCAGAACCAGAACTCTGTTTATTTCTTTTCTTTCTTGTCTTCCTTGGATGGGTTTTTAACTATCTTTTTTGTTTCTTTGTCTTTTCCCACCTGCATAGTACCATCCTTTTCACTGGCTGTTTTTTTTGCAGTGTCCTTGGACTTTACATTTTTATCTAGGCTCTTTTCCTTTTCCTTTCCTCTGTCCCTTTTAGCCTTGTCAGAATCTTTCTTTAATTTATTCATATCAACAGCTTTCTTGTCCTTTCGATCAGTAGCATCTTTTCCCTTCCTGGCTTTCTTTTTTTCTTCCTCATCTTTGACGTTTTCCTTCTTGGATTCCTGCTTCTCCCTTAATTTCTTGAGTGGTTCTTTAATAGCTTCTTTTACTTTTTAGTTTTTCAGTTAAAAAAGAGGAAATGTTCAATAAGAGAACCATTCTTAGAACAGAAAATGTTTTATGAACAACTATCTAAAAGCTTTGACTGAATTCTTACTTAATGTTTGTTAGATGCCAATGTAAACTTGTATGATTAACTAATTACGCTTTAAGCAATTTCAACAAATTAGTTTTGACTTTTAGCAGTATCTCACACCATGCAGCCAGCCAATAACCTTACCTTACTGCAACTGCATTCAAGTAAAGCATTACACTAGTGAAAACCATGCCTTTATTGTCTTACTGTTAACTAACACGCACACAATGCTAAAACCAATTCTGTCTGTGAGCATGAAAATCACAGTAGATTTTTCAATCTTTGACAACAGCATGACAGTTATAGGGTTTAAAAATGTCAAGAGAACCACCAAAAGATATTTTTTTTTCCCACAGGTTTCTCAACTTTCTAAAACTACAACTGAAAGTCTTATGACTACAACGCTTTCCTGACATTGTTATCTCAGCTTAAGCCACGACTTA